GAGGTTTTACACGAGCGAGATTTGACATGTGTTATTTAAAAATGCAAAGATCTCTTGTTTTGCGTGAAGAGGCACATTTTCAAACAAGGAAATGGGTACACAACATGCTCTGAAAGCCCCTGGAAGTATGAGTGTCATTGGTATCTCTGCAAAAGTTGCCCTGTCTGCACTCCTCTCACAGTGCTTTGGTGACAATTTGTGAGCGACACTTCAAGGCTGATTTTAGTAAGCCTTGGCTCTGCCTGTGCTTTCCAGACCTTATTACCCACTCCTCAGTTGTCCAGAATTTGCTGTTATTTTAAAAAACTGTATGTCCTGAGAAAAAGTTCTGTGGGTTAGCTCAGAGTTTGATCATCTGCATCTGTTTCAAAGTGTCTCTGATAGTATTTAGATAGTCCAGGGACTTGTAAGGGATGGTTGCCCTTTTGTACTTCAAATTTTCACATACTGACATTAGGGTTTGTTCTTGACTGTGAGTACTTCAAAGAGAGCTTTGGTCCAAGCCTCCCTGATGGTAAATATTGCACAGCCATAGCTGCCTTCACCCTTAACAGTGTAGAACGTATTCTGCATTATTTTGTTTTATATTCAGCACTCCTTTATTTTCTACCAACATTTGTGCAATTTGAGTCCCAAGCCTCACCCTGAATGTATTTTAACATTACTAGGTTGCATAACCTTTCTGAGGTAAAAAAAAACCAACACAGTGAGCTTGTTACTCCTTTTTAATTTATTAAACAAAGCTTTCCATGGCCCTAATGGCTGCCCAGATTTTTGGGGAAATTCCCTGCTCACATGACTCTTGAACTTGCAGGTGTAAGCATTTTGGTGATACCTCATCACACAGGTCAGTGTTCACCCAAGCCTCTGCTGCTGCTGGGGACCACGGACTACAAAGTAAAACACAAAATTCAAATGCTGAGAGGTAGAGATGTCCTTTCAGGGAGAAATATTCAAACGAGGTGCACAAACACCAGGAAAAGTGGAATGGGGCAGGAGTCAGGGAGCAGCAGCCTGTCCCTTGCAAGAGAAAGCAGCAAATAACGAGTTGGTTATAGGAGAGATAAAAGAAAAGCTGACCTCTGCGATAAGCATGGAGGTGGTGGAACGCCGAAGCAAGGAGGCAATTATCCCAACTCTCTGGGATGAAGTGGGTACAAGAGCTAACAGAGCTGAGCAGTGAATTTCAGCAGAAAAAAAAAATAAAAAAATGGATCGTGCACAGCTGCAGGGGTTACTGCTGGAGACTGTATCAGAAAGAAGAAAAATGGATATTGCCTGCAGAGGGACTCAACACTTTATTGGGCTTCCAGGAGAAGCGTACACAGGAATTTCTGAGGAGATGATTTCCCAGCTACTTTAGATTCACTGCAAACAGGTTTCAAGTGATAAAATTCTTTGGGGGATATGGGTTATAATGAATGATCCGTTTTAGAAGAGGAAACAAATAGTGGGATGTTGCAATGTTTTAGCAGGGAGAAAGCCATTGTTTCCAGATTTGTATTAATGATACGGAGTGGAAGGAGAATGGCGAGATGACAGCATTTGTAAATGAGGGAAGTGATCAAAGATCAGCAGCAGTCCCAGGAGGAAGGGTGAGAGCAGTTAGAAAATACTAAATTTCAGCTCCAATTCTCGTACATCCCCTAGGATATTTTATAAATTTATTTGTTCCTGAAGAGTTTTCTGGGCACCCCAACTCAAGGGAGTGCATGAAGCCTGCACACCTCTGTGATTTGACCAGCAGTTCAATCCAGCTTCAGCTCCTAAAACAGACGAGGTTGGAGTTGGGAGAGGCCACAGGACTCCTGTCCTGTAAGCAACAGCCACCTGACATTGTTCCAAGGCTACTGTCACGAGCACAGCCTTTGTCGTGTGAACAAATGTGTGTATTACTCACAACTTGTAAGAACAAAGTGAAGAACAGTATTTGAACTGCGTTTTTCTAAACAACCACATGAACTATACTTTGAAAGGAAAAATTTCCTGTCAGGTTTTATATTCAACATTTCTTTCCCTTTATGAGACATCAGGAAAAAAAACCAACAAAACAAACCTGCCCTGGAGATCTAGATCTGTAGGTAGAAAGATGCAAACTAGGAAATCCCAAAACACACAAAAATTATCTTGCTCAACTAACATTATACTACTTGCATGCTAATAATTATAAACAGACACACCATTTGATGATTTACAGATTCATTTCTCTTCTCTACCTAGTTCAGCTAAAATTTGTAGAGTATTTCCCCTCATTTGTGGAGTAATTGACTTGTTCTTATGACATGCCTGGGCTTTCAATCCAAAGCTGGGTGTGATCTTTCCCTCGAAGTCGGATGTCTCTGCAAAACAAGCACTGGGATTGCATCACATCCTGCTGGGTTCAGTACAAAAATTGCTGTTGAGATGCAAACACCTGGGCTGTGCAGAAAAGGATGCTAGGGGAGCAGAGGGGTGGCTTGCACTCTTTCCATTCACTGAAACACCAAACCCAGATGCTCTCCCCTTTACACAATGTCTGCAGTGCTGCCAAACCCAGAAGCCTTGGAGACACAAACATCTCAAAGAGCTGCATGTCAGGGGACAGCACGAGAAGGCTTTCCATTTCCAGCACTGTGTAGGCTCTCTGGAGCAACCTGCTCTGCTGTGGCTGTGGGTCAGGCTGCCCACACTTCCTTTGCTTCCCCTGCTCCCACTGCCACCACCCCAGATTGCCTCATCTCCTCTGTTGAAGGACAATTTCTGCTGTTGACATACATATCCTTTGGGCAAGTTTTCTGGTTGTCTTGCAAGGCCTTGGCACAACATCAGCTTTGCCACAGCTGGGCTTTGTTGCTGGGCTCCTCCTCAAGCAAAGACCTTCTGTTCCTCCATTAGCCCCTGGCACCTTGATGCCTCCTCTGGCGGGAGTGAGGTGACACTTGGGCTCCCAAATCTCCCTCCCCTTATCAGCCTTTCCCAGTCCTTGCATGAGCACAGCCCTGGGGAGGGTCTCCTGTACCATGGAGTGAACAGCCTGTCTCATGTCTGAGGGTACAGGGAGCTGCCACACTTCTCAGGCTTTTCATGTAGCACAAAACACCTGCCTGTGCACACAGAGTCACCTTCTGCCTGCAATCAGAGCCCTCTCACACAAGCACCATTCTTGGCAACACTGTCTGGTTCTGCTCAGCCTCCTCTCCCCAGTGATCATGCGGCTTTTCATGTAGCACAAAACAGCTGCCTGTGCACACAGAGTCACCTTCTGCCTGCAATCAGAGCCCTCTCACACAAGCACCATTCTTGGCAACACTGTCTGGTTAGCTCAGCCTCCTCTCCTCAGTGATCATGTACTGGTTCCTCATCTTTATCAGAATGGGCAGCTTTGTACTTGAAACCTGCTTTGGTTTTTGCTGCTTTGTGTTCATGTTGGGCACTTTTGGGTGGGGATCTTGTTTTCCCTGTGGACCGTGCTCTTTCACATTGCCAGTTTGGTCTGTGTCTCCTCACAGCCTGGTTTTCCTGAGGAGATGGTCCCAAGCAGAAATGGGAGGTCATCTCTTGTGTGTTTCAAAAATTTCTAAGAAGTATTCATTGGGAATAAGATACTAAGATATTAAATGTGCACATAGAGTTAGAAGAGAAAGTATTAGTGGCATAACCCTTTTTATGATATTCCCTACAGATCTCAAGTATAAATATTTCCAGTGTTGAACAAGTGCTGCTTTAAATCATTCAATCACTCTCTGTAGGCTGCAGCTCACTCAACAGCAAAGTTTTGTCCTGTTTCCAACCTCTCCTCAACAGGGAACACAGGATTACTCCATCATATTCATTGTGTTCTCTTCTGCTGCCACTTTCCATCCTTCTTGGCTGAGTACTTTTTCCCCAGCTGGGCAACTGGTAAGAAACCAGTATCTCACTGTGATTTTTTGACCTCATTGATTTCATCTTTGCCTGTAATTTGCACCTGTAATCAGGTGCAAATCCAACCTCTAGCAGTGGGTCAAGAGCATTTTCCTATGACACACCACATGTGACTGGGGCCAGGCTCCCGTGGATATCTTGTCCTGTTCTGTCAGCAGAGTTACACCAGGGAAAGGTCTGGCACAGGCTGTAAAAACTAAACCTTGACCCAGCCACGAGCAAATGAGAGCGAGGCAGCTGTTTAAAATGCCTGATGGTGAATTCAGATTAAACCACTTCAATATTGACTGAAATGCTTAATTTTATTGGCACTGGCTACTGTGAACACACTTCCCTCTCAGTGACAAGCAGCAGGATTACCCAGCTCAGAGGTCAGCAGGTGGGCTCTCCATCTTTGGCTCCCCTCTGAGGACAGGGCTGGGAGAAGGGATGATCCCTAACACAGGCCACCACACCCCTGCCCTTGAACACGGTGGGGAGAATGCAAGTTGCAATTGGCTGGTGATCTGGTTTTCAGCCCAGCACTTCTGACCAGGGGCCGTTGGACTGTGTGGCCAGAAGCCAGTGAGCTGCCAGCAGAGTGTTTGTGTGAAGACACATATAACATCTTTTGGCTGACAAACCGCATTACATGTCTGTCCCCATGCCCAGGAGTAGGCAGAGCAGTTCTCTTCAACTCCCTGTGTTATATATGTATGTATATCCATAGCCAAAAATGTGAACTTCTTGTGGTGGTGATTTCTCCAAGCTCCTGCCCAAGACAAAGCCAATGCCCCCAGGATCTGTCTGGAGAAGGGGAAGGCGCTCCGTCTCGACTACTGCTGCTCAATCAACTTGCTGACACCACAGTCCCTAAAAATTGGCTTAGCAGCGGGTGCTCTCTGAGCCAGAACTGGCAGAGCAGCAGCTGCTGGAAGCAGACACTCCTTCGCAAGTTCTGGTCCTCTCTGGTGTCACCCAAGCTGCTTCCCTGACTTCCAGCGACGGCTTTTTGTTAATTAGGTCACGCGTGGCCCTGCGCGCGAAGCGCCGCACGACGCAGCGGGAACGCTTTAGCGCCGGTGTGTGTCTTTTCACTTTGTAAGTCTGGCATTTTCTTTGCTCTCCAGGTTATGCCAAGACAGAAGGAGGGACTTGGAGAGGGAAGATTAACCTTTCGCTGGCCACGATTCCTTTCCCTCTTATCGCGGAGGCTTCGGCAGCGCGCCCCCCTCCCAGCCAGCCTATCTGTCTGAATTGCTGAAAGCATAATGCTCCCATATGAGAGATAAGTAAGTGAGCTCTCTTTCTTTTCCGTAGGGATGAACTATAGTGTATGCAGATTATTAGGAGAAGAAAATAATATCAGAGAAAGGTGGCTTTCTTAAAAGGCATCGGTAGCATTAGTGTCATGTGTGAAGCACCCATTTGTGACAACTGTACAGACCTTTCAATGGAAAATTGTGCTGTGCTACCTTTTAAAGTATGAAATGCTAATTTTGGATTTACAGTTTTTGAACTGGAGGGCTGCATTTTGCATGGAATTTTGTTTAATTTCCCAGAGAAAAAAGGCATTTGAAACACAACTGCCTACAGCCAACTGTCAACAAAAATCAACTGTAATAACACGCGGCCTGTCACTGATTTATGTGGTGATGTGGTAATCTTCTCAATTTAGCTGGATATTTCTTCTTCATACCAAATAGCTGAAAGTCTTGCTAGACATTTATGAATATCGGGAGGTGCTATTAGGATGATAATGGGGCAAGATTAAAGAGGTGCTCACTAGTTCAAAGTGCCAGTTAAAGAGACAGGGAATCGAGAGGTGTAGATATATATATGGCCCATTGGTATAAGTGAACTTTATATTTTCAGAGTTGCTTAAGATTTGGGAGACGGCATATTGAAATCCATCTGCCAGGAGAGCATCTTTGTAAAGGGAGACTGGGGGAAGAAACTCTATGCTTTTTTTCCTCCTAAAAAACATGCTTTTGTTTAGCAGGAGGTGTGGATTGAAAATCTTAGGTATCGAAGCTGGAGTGAGTGAGTGTGGACGATGTTTTACCAAGCAGAACGCTAGGAATTCTCCCCCTTTTCTCCAAAGGTCTGAGCCTCAGCCATGGTCATTTTGCAGCAGGCTGTGTCTCAGCCAGGACTGGCGAGTCACATATCACACTCTGCATGTTACAGCTAAGAAAAGTAATTGGCCTCTCGTAAAGAGCTAGAACTAATGCAGACAAAACGATATTGCAAGACTTGAGCTGCAAATAAAGAGACAAGTTTGTGTTTTACAAAAATGTATAATTTACCAGGCATTTCATTATGCTGTATAAAAAGGCAAAAATGATAATTGAAAATAAATGTGGCTGCCTAGCTACAGTATATGCTGCCAGCGTTACTGGAAATAGAAGTGCTTTCTTGCTGAAGAGAGTTAAAATTTTCATACAACTTCTGTCTGCAGACTTGTGTAATGTATCTTGTTAAATTTGTTTCAGTTTGGGTATTTGTTACAGAGAAGCAGGCAAAATGTGAGGCTCCGTCTGTGTATTTTTATATCTAGGGGGTTGTACAATTATATTAATTATTAACAGCCTCTTCTGCAGATGCACACATCTGTTGAGTCTGAGGCAGGATTCATGTTGCTGAGTTTATTCCAGAGTGGGAAAAGTACATCAGTTGCCTTCAAGGTTTCCAGAGATATTCCACAGCAAACTCCTGTCTTCCAAGGAACACGGTTACAAATACAGATAAACCAAAGTAATGCTGTTGGGTTATTTTGCCCTGAAGCAAAGGGAATTCTGAATCGCTGTTTTTCTTCAGTACATGAGGCTACTTGGGGATGCTGAGAATTACTGGAGGGGGAGAACACAGGTCTAGAAATTGTCCTTGCTTCTGCCCTGAAAGCTTCCTTCTGGCCCCCTCATTCCTGGCAAGAGGAAGCTGCCACAAACGTGGTGTCCCTCTGTGTCCAAATGTATGTGTCTCCCTGCAGCAGCCCCAGGGCTCTGCACACCCAATGTGGGAAAACCTTCCCCAAAGGAGCTCTGGGGGGAAAAACCCTCCTCTGGATTGAGATTTTCCCTCCAAGCTCTTCAATTTCTCCACGGAGAGAATGTAAAAGGCTCTAGGCTCAATTCTTCCCAGGGTCTGCTCATGCCCCACAGCAACAAAATGTTGTGCAGGTTATCCAAGTTGAAACTACTGTGTTTCCCCTAGCCCTGGAATTAAGCTGAAAAAGAAAAGGGGAGAGGTCTTCCCTTGGCTTTAAAGGCCAGGGAGGTAGGGGCAGAGAAATTGGATGAGTTCCTTGTTGGCACTGCCATTCCACAGATCCCTCACCAGGGTGGATGGGATGGCAACAGAGTGAACAGGGTACTGAGAAAAGAACTCATCAGCAGGAAGATTATACTTTCATATGTGTGTTTAAATCCATTGTTTAAAATTATCTTCTTTTTAATTTTTTCTTTCCATTTGGGCTCTTCTTTCATCTACAGACTCAGCTGGGCTGCATTGTTCAGAGTCGTGGTTGTGTTTGGATGGGTCAGGCCCTATGAATTCGCTTGGCCTTGAAGCAAAAAAACTCATCATGAATAATGAAAGAAAGGAAAATAATGCCTGAGACAGAATGACTTTAAAAATGATTAATATCTATTCTTTCCCTCATAATTTGCCTCCAGACTTTTCCCTTTTCAAAATAGCTTGCCATTAGCAGTTGAACTTTCAATAGTCAGTACTTTGATGGAACTGGTGCTCTGAAGCCAAAGGGAACATTATTACTATTATTATTATTATTATTATTATTATTATTTGGAATCAAGGTTCATTTTGATAAGTTCAAAGCCCTGGGTGAATATAGAAAGGCCCAAGTTCTGCCCTCCAGCACATCTTGCTGGCTCAAACTGGCCACTTGAAACGCAGCAATGTTTGCCAGGCAGGTACTGAAACTGTTGTGACCGTGGATGTGTAAACACCAGCATCAGTTCCCATCCAATAACTGCTGACAGGAAAGCTGGTCCTGTGCAGAGCAGCACCGAGGGGATTTGCAATTATGAAGGAATGGGATATATCAGGGATGCAAGTGACTGCCACTAAGTAGCTCAGCAACTCTCAGGGGTCTCCACTCGGCTCCCAGCTCCTTGTCTCAGGCAGGAGATTTTCTTGCTTCAAAGGCTTTTATTAAAAACCAGTGCAGGTAAATGCTGACAATAAGCAAGCAAACCTGTTGAGCCTCAAGTCCACAACTCGCCAGGCAACAGGATGCTTCTCTGTGACATTTAAGAGTGCTAACACCTGAAGAAAATATTGCATGTTTTACCCTTTCTGCTTAAAATAACATGAAAAAGTGCTGCTCTTGCAATTGCATTAAGGGGCATTTTCAGCAGGCTGTCCCCACCTCTGTCCCCAGGATCTAAGGACTCCCAGCTGCCTCTGATTAAAGGAAACCTTCTCCATTAGTGCCCTGGCCAGGACTTTGAAATACCCCAAAGCAGCTTTATCTACCCCAAAAGCAGCTCCACGTTTAGGGTGGAATTAGGGTGGGCTGAGGCAGGGCTCCTGGCAGGGTGTGCATGCAGAGCACTTCCAGCCAATGAGCTCCAGGGAGTTAATTAGTGTGTTATCCCAATTACCTGTGGAGCATGCTTTTACCCTCAGCTTGCTCTGGCTACAGTCGTTTTTGGTGTGTGCTACTCCACATTCCCTCAGAGCAGCTCCCTCCAGCTCCTTGGGCTACCCTGAATTTTGGGTAAGTTTTTCTGTTATTCCTAAAGTTTTACAGCTTTGTAGCACAACAATGTTCCAGGTTTCTTTGAGGTGATGACCAGAGAAAGCTTGATGGTTGTAGAACCTGAAGTTATTCCTTGTTATGGCTGTTGTAAGGTGGAGTAGCTGCTTGAGATGTGAAAGGTGATGATTTTCTGTGGTGAAATTAAGTTTTTTTCTCTTTTAAGCCCTCTCCCCATCTATATTTACCCCCAATCCTATGGTTCTGCTTTGGTGGCATATTTAGATATCTGTATATGTGCATTGCTTCTCTCGTGGGCCTTCACCTAGCTGGTTATCTGTGGAGAGGATGAGGATTTTATGGGAATTCAGCAGGATTTTATGAGAATTGGTCCTTCTTAAGTCAGATTTCTTTGATTTTCTGTCAAATTACAGATGATTATTTTGTTGGTAATGGTCAGCTGTGCCAGCTCTGTAAGCATTATGGTCTTGGCAGTATGTGGAGTCAGAATTGTTCTGGCCTTTAGGCAATGCTCCTGTTGAGTGTGGGGGCTTTACCCCTGGCTAAAATAGGGATTGCCCCAAGCTTCCACTTCATCCCTTTCCTGGTCTTGGAGGAGGGTTGGGGGAACAAAAGGTGTATCTTTCTCCTGAGGTGCTGGAGTTTCAGAGAGCCTGGCCAGTGTTAATGAGGCACAGCTGGGCCTCGTTTAAACACTTCAGGCTAAAGGGTGAAGCCATGAGGAGCTTCCAGAACCTTCTGGGCTTTTCCAATCAGGCTGTGGATTAATTAATTATCTCTGCCTTCTGCTAGAAGTGGAAGGAAGCCTTTTAGTGTCTGCCAGGGGATAAGGCTTCTTTTGCTGCCATGCTGAAATGGGTGAACCTGTGTCACACACCCCATTTTAGGGACTTTAATGGCTCGGGGGAGGAGGTCCTACAAGGAAACCCCCCCTGATTCCAGGGGGTTCACCTGCAGCGTGTGGCAGGCTGGGTTTTAAACCATCAAAATGCACTTGTGTGTTACCTGCAGAGATAATTGAATGTATATGCACATCCCCAGCAGAACACCTGTGCTGCCTCCCTGGCACGCATAAGTATTCCCTGCATGCCTGTGTGTTCCCTGCAAGCTACACTACACATTAATAAGACAATCCATATATTGCATCAGGACAGACCCTATGCAGACAATGCTCCAGGTACTGATTTTTCTTTTTTTTTTTTTCTTTTTTTTTTTTTTTTTGTGTGTAAATCCTGAAATATGGTTGATATGGTCCACTGCAAAATGAACCTATATTGGAAATGGCAAAATTGTAATGTAAAATATACTGGGGTCAGTGGGGTGTGATGTTTTTTGCATACATTTTTTCTCCCTTGACCCATGCCATTCTCCTGCATATCGGGGGAAAAAAGCTTCATCTCACACGGAAATGTGATGTCCTTTACTGCCAGAGGCTGTTGCTGTTTTAAATGAGGAAAAAGCACAATGCATGAAGAAGGAAAATTAAAGCATATTCATTTTGGAAATTAGATACGGTGTCAGGAGACTCTCTGGAAATAGCATGGTTTG